TACAGTCGGTGTGTGTCCAGCGGACAAGATCCCGTCGGTGTCGACGAAACCGATTGCTATAGTAGCGAACACACATGACCACACCCAGCCAGGAGAACACTGGGTCGCCATGTACGTTGATCGAAATGGCAGAGGATGGTACTTCGACAGCTTCGGGTTACCTCCCATCGTGCCCCAGCACGCTGCAAGACTCCGAAAGAACTGTAAACTCTTCAAGTGCAGCATTCGGCAGCTCCAGCATCACGAGTCAAGCGTATTTGGACAATACTGTATACTTTTTCTGCATTGTATGTCTATGCTACTCCTGAGAAGTTCTATTCATAATTCACCGATCGATTCATATCTAATGATCGTCTAGTGCGCGAATAACACAATGCGTTTATGAAGAAAAAACGTGCTAGTATCCCCGAGGGGAAGTTGTTTAGTGGCTGCGGTTATAATTGTACGTTGTGGAATCAAAAATGTAAGTAGTCCATAAGAAAAATGTGTGATTCATGGGTCATTATTTTTTGGGGAAAAAATATATACAATTAATAAGTGAAATTCTGTGTTTTTATTTCCCCAGTGTGATAGCCACTATGACGCATCCACAGCATTCACAGTTACTCCCACACCACCGCTCACTCGTGTTGGAGTCGTGCTACTCTGACCAGTGCAGTGGTGGGGTTGGAGTAACTCTGGGTAGGGGGCGCCGTAGTGGTTCTTACACTACTGACGAGATTTTATTGTTATTTATTATTTCAACATCTGATATAACTGAATCCTGACGAATATCAACTGACTTGATTATTTCCTTTGATTCCTTGTAATTTTGACAATTTTTATGCTTATTATTTATTTCAATTATTCCACCACTTTCATTGTTTAATTCGTTGAATTCATTTAGCTTATTTAACTAGTTATAGACCCGAGCGGTTGGGTTCGATGGTAGGGATAGATCACTTGTAGATAATTAGAAATGAATATCTCTCAGGGAGATTCAACTTTTTAACGATTCAACGATTTATTCAATAAATATAGTCTTTGATTAATGCCGTAAATATCAGGCAATATGAATTACAAGAAAGTGACTTAACGAATAATCGGATTACTAATTGTCTGTGTCTGACAACCTGACTAACTGACCCAGTGGCAACGAACTCACGAGCTTATATTTCATCGTGGATTCGACTGCAACAAGTGTTCTATCTTTGTTTTACATCTGGAGAGACATCGGGTGACGTCCCAGGTGTACGTAAAGGCCATAGCTGTTGATGGGGCGAAGTGCTGACACTGCACCCCAGTGATCCACATTATGACGAATATATGTGGACTTAATCCACAAATATTTTTATTTTATTTTTTATTTTTACATTTTTCCTTTTCCTATTACCATTGTTACCATGGTTTGATAGGCGCCCCTTCGTCTTAGCCTTTTAGCCTCTCCTACTATCCTCTCATTAGCCTCTCCTACTATCCTCTCATTAGCCTCTCCTACTATCCTCTCATTATTTTTGCGGTAGCATGGGCCGACTTTCTGTACTGCGCCCATTTGGCGTGTACTGAGGGAAACCATGTAAAACCTCAGTAGCGCAGCCGGCCGGTACTGCGGGGATTCTGCTGTGTTCATCAGTCACACTGACTCGGTGAACACACCAGCTCTCCGCACCCGTCCCTGACGGCGGCAGTCTACACGCCGATGGGTGTGACTAAGCGGGCACCCATCCAAGTACTAACCCAACTGAGCGTTGCTTAGCTTGGGTGATCGCCGGAGTCACACACCGCCCGCGTAGCTACTGTCGCCGCTTTAATCCACAAATATTCGGGATAGTTTATATTACAACATTGACATTCTTTGATTCGATTTTACATGCTTTGGATATTATGTGCCACTTCGCGTGTCGTCATATTATCCAGGCCAATGAGAAATTACCTAATACTATTTCTTAATTTAATGGTATTTCTGGGGCATAACAAACTTATTTTTCTTATTTGACTCATTTTCATTAGTTAACTCGTTTTTCTCATTTAAATCGTTATTTTTTTCAGACTCATTTTTCTTATTTAATTCATTATTTCTTTCAGACTCATTTTTCTCATTTAATTCATTATTTTCTTTGAACTCATTTTTCTCATTTGATTCATTTAATTTATTTGACTCATTTGATTTGTTTAACTCATTTGATTTTTCGTAACTCTGACGGTGTTTAATTTTATTGTCTGTTTCATTAATTTCATGTGATGCTTAATTCACTTGTTCATTTTCATTATCATCCTCATTGCCCTTAGTGAACATTACCATTTTTGATTCACGTGGTGTACTTATACCCGGTTCGTAACCTAGACCGAAATGATCTTCTTTTGGTTTTTGTTCCCATAAATTTCTCAATCCTTGATGGGTTTTCTGCGCTCTTAATTTCCTCTCTTGTTTAGAGGTATCATTACCGGATCGCGTTACTACGTGTATCGATTCAATTTGTTTAACAGAATTCCAGGAATTATTAATTAACAGGAATTAATTTTACCTGGTTTGTAAATTACATCGAAATCGTATTCTCCTAAGGCAAGTCGCCATTTCATTACCCGATTATTGACTCCATTGGCTGTTTTGAGCCAAACCAAGGGTTTGTGATCTGTTATCAAAATGAATTTTCTTCCGTAAATATATGTTCGGAATGCTTGAACGCTATGCATGATAGCTAAAGCTTCTTTTTCATACGTTTCATAATTAATTTCCGGTCCTCTTAGAACTCGCGAAGTATAAGCGATGGGTAGATCGTTTCCGATTTTTCCTTGAGAAAGGACTCCCCCGACTGCTTCTTTAGAGGCATGAGTTGTTATACCGAAAATTTGATCGAATTTTGGGTATTGCAAAATTGGTGACATTATTAGCTTGTTTTTCAATCCCTGGAAAGCTCTTTCTGTTTCAGAGTCCCATTCAAATTTAGTGTCTTTTTGTAATAATCTCGTGAGCGGTTTGGCTATTCCACCATAACCTTCAATGAATTTACGATAATATCCCGATAGTCCCAGCAATTCCCTTATTTTTGTTTGACTCGTAGGTGTAGGGAATTTTTCAACGGCTTCAATCTTTTTTGGATTTGGCCGGAGTCCATCTTTCCCGATTATGTGTCCCAAAACGCAACTTCTCGTTTTAAAAATTCGCACTTATCGGGCTGTAACTTGAGATTTGCTTTTCTTAGTCTTTGTACCCATAATTCATATTTTCGCGTGTGATCTGCTAGATCAGGGCTGGGCAAACTCTGCTCTGAGAGCAAGTCGTGTTCCCGACCTCTATTAGTGCGTAACAAAGGGTAAACGAAAGCCCATTGTATCGGGTGATGGGCCTTTATGACCCAGATCGTAAAACCCTTCTCCTCCGCTGAGATCAACCGAAGTGGGGGTGACGCTTAAGAAAAGGAAAAGAGGAGAAATTAGACTCAAGTAAAGGAAACGCAGCGAAATAAGTCGATCAGAAAAATTTCAATTTTTTTTCATGTGTGCATTACAAAATAATCAGATGCGCGACAAGTTTTACCCTTCCGGAGGATAAATTCTTGCCAGACGCTTCATGGGATACTCCCCACCTTAGTACCTGTGAAGCCCCCACTACTGCCCCCACTATGCTAGTACTAAGACCCTTATTATTGAAATGGTTGTAAACTTTATTGGATTTCTAATTCGAGTTTATGGCTCTGCTCCGAGCTACCTGGACATTGCCCATGCCTGTGCTAGATTGTCTGCGTAAATGACAATGTCATCTAAGTATACAAAGAGCTCAATTCCTTGCAACCCAGTTAGAACTGTATCCATAATTCGCTGGAAAGTAGCCGGTTCGTTTTTCAATCGCATTGGCATTCTTTTGAATTCGTAATGCCCGAATGGTGCTGTGAAAGCAGTTTTGTGTCTGTCTCTTGGATCCATCTTGATTTGATAGAATCCTTGAGCCAAATCAAACACAGAAAAGTATTTTGCTCCTCCCAATTGATTCAATATTTCTTCGATGTTTGGTAGGGGATAAGCATCTGCGATTGTCAACTCATTTAATGGGCGAAAATCAATTACTAAACGCCATCTATTATTGCCTTAAGAATCAGGTTTCTTTGGGACAATCCATACTGGACTACAATAGGGTGATTTTGAAGGACGTACGAGCCCTTTCTTTCGTAATTCTCCAACTTGAACGTCGATCTCGTCTCTCAATGACATTGGTTGTCTGTATTGTTTAGTGTGAACCGGATGTGGATTGGTTGTAATTATTCGATGGGGATGTAAGCTAGTTGCAGAGATTGGTTCGTCTGGTAGTTGGTAAACGTCCGATGATTTTAATAATAAATCCTTGACGTAAGATGATTCTTCGTCATTTAAATGTTCTAGTCTTAATAATTCCTTTAGTTTATCAAATCTTTCATGTTTGTTTGTAATAATTGTTGGCTCTAGATTTCCTGGAATGTCAAGTGTGAGTTGTGTCCCGTCTTCATTTATTCCTTCTGCGTCTCTTGTTTCTGTCGTAATTTTAAAAATGGTTTCACATGTTTGTTTAAAGTCAGCTTCGTATGTGGATTGAAGGTTGTTAGTGGTTGTTTCGAATTCTCTTTTGAGATCAGGGCAGGGGGGTGTAACTCGACTTTCAGCGTGCCACACATATGTCGTTTTCCGCTTGGTGGCGCGTCGAGCACTAGTACGGGTAGGAGGCGGGGCTACGGTATGAAATATTGAGAGTTCTACGAGACTTTTGTGTTTTGAATAGTTTTTAAATAAATATTGAAGTTTTCCCTCGTAGATATCGACTTATAGCAGGGTGGGAGAAAATCAAGTTTCCTGGGGTAATCAAAAACGATTTATTCGTTGCACTAAATAGCTATACAAGGCACATTCGTTTTTTGTATCATACATGTAATTATAGTATCATTGGATCAGGTTTTACAAAGTTTAGCAGCTTTCTTCTTGGCTTGATTTAACTTTTCTTGTTCGTTGTTGATACGATTACCGTATCGTATCATTCTTTTCATGGTGAAGTGTTATATGCTGTACATGATTTTCTGCGAACCATGTTCCTTGCAGGGGAATGAAACTTTATTGGACTCAAGAACATCATTCAGGATTGCTTCAAATGGATTTTTTGAATCGCAATATTTTTGGAAGAGACTTTCCAAATGTAGTATGAATCGAAATAAATGAGTATTTGGGTGATAACAAAGAGATTCGAGAGAATATTGAGTTAATGCTGCTTCTGGAAGCTTTGGAATATCAGAAGCTTCGAGCAAAGCATTTTGGCAGGAGAGGCATTTCTCAGTATTCATGATGCGATACATTAATTCAGATGTCATGCAATACAAAAGACAGTGCGTAATTTCAGGCTTAGCATAATCATGCTCGACGATATCTTCCATGCTCCAATCTTCGTTTTTAATCATATCGTCCAGTTTCTTCAGCACATCTTTTTTTTTATCAGTCATACCGCCCTTAGCAAAGACAGATTTTAGATCCGACATAGTGAAGAGTGGTTTCTGGGAATCATTTCTGATAACGGAGCAATTGCCAGTTCTTGGGGGCTTCAGGACACCAAAAGTGGATAGAATTTTATACAAATTAAGGTTGTTGTATCATAGATTGCTTTTTTCGACAGTTTTCGATTAAACTTTTCCTGTGAATAGTTAAAACAATTAGCGGTCCAACAAGCCCTCTTTAATTAGGGTCCATAATCTGTAACTCGAGATATAAATTTTTGAAATTTTTTCGATATTACATTGGCTTAAAGGCAATTCCACCGATGGGAATTTTTTCAAGCTCAACCACTCGACAGTTTTTTATGAAAAAAATCTATATCGGAGAACAAGTACTAATGAATCAACAGAAAAAAAAAAGAAATATCTGTATAATCTCATATCGGAGAAATTAATTAGTAAAATTTGATTATTGCCAAAATGGGGCGGAGCAACTGAAGGGGCGGAGCGCAGTACGAGAAATACAGCGGCTGACTCAGGCGCGGGCAATTTCGAAAAAGTTAGGTTATGATGCATAGGATATTCAAATCATGGAGTCATTGTATTTTCTATTGATTCACTTTTATTAACTGTTATAATACTTAAACGCTTTAACATAAACAATATTAATAATCTTTGAAAAGCGATACAATTTTATCAATCACCTTCTTATTTTTAGTGACACGAGGTTTGTTCATGTCATTTTTTTCCCCTAACAATTGCAACAATCCTCCTTTCTGTTTGCTTGCTGCCAATAAATTTTCAAATGTGATGTCAGCATTGGCGATTTTTCTAATCAT